AATGGTCAGAACGGCAACAAGTCAATGTAAATATCCACAAAATGTTAAAATGTGCTCATTGTTCATATTATTACATATATGATCTTTAAAGCATGCGTTGGAAAAGAGCATACAATGAAGTCTAAATGTAAGGGCAAAGAGCTGGGGAGGGAGAGCTGGAGAGAATTAATGAGAAAAACCAGGTAGTCACATCAAAAGTGCGGCATGTTCTTTACCACTTCACATGTGGCATAACGAATGTGTAAACTGTGTATTTTTCACAGCTGTCTTGGATTGGACCCAAACATGTGTACTGTGCCTTTCCTCATAAGTAATTTAAGGGGGATTTTGAGAAAGAAAAGCTTGCGGCAGTTAAAGTTTGCTTGCAAGTGGTATCACCAAAAGCCAGGGGGGTTGTAGGAGGTGTGATTAGACAAGTTGCTATCTATGCTTTCCATGTCTTGCAGAAGTTATAAGGCAAGTTACCAAATCATGCAGAAAAAGCTAACAAGAGCTTCTAGAATCCAGTGCCGCAAACCTTAAAAAAGTAATTTCTTGAGCCATGTTTTGAGGTGTCACTGTAACTTGGACGTCCTGTTCTTTTGCTCTCCTGTCTTGGCATTTAGCTCTTTTCCAATATTTTGAGTAAGTGGTTCCCTTTACACAAACAGGCAGGCATGCCCACTGATTTATCCAAATAGAGGCAGTTTAGAGGCCAAAACACCCTCATTAAGTGCAGGAGGCAAAGTCCAACGACCTCAGAAATATTGTGATATTTGAAGCAAAAATAGTATCTGGGTTGTTGTGCTGTCTGAGCTGTAGGATCATGTTCCAGAAGCATTCTCTCCTGCCATTTCACCTGCACCTATGGCAGGCATAATCACAACCTCTGAGGATGCCTGCCATAGATGCAGGTGAAACGTCTGGAGAGAATGCTTCTGAAACATAACCATACAGCCTTGAAAACTCACAACAACCCAGTGATTCCGGCCATGAGCTTCCGCTGTCAGCCCTAGCTTCTGCCAACCTAGCAGTTCGAAAACATGCAAATGTGAGTAGATCAATAGTATCGCTCCGGCGGGAAGGTAACGGCGCTCCATGCAGTCATGCCGGCCACATGACCTTGGAGGTGTCTACGGACAATGCCGGCTCTTCGACTTAGAAATGGAGATGAGCACCACACCCCAGAGTCAGACATGACTGGACTTAATGTCAGGGGACTACCTTTACCTTTTTTAACTGTAAACTTAATACCAAATAAAAATTAACCAAAAAATAAAACTCGGCAGTTTAAAGCAGATAATTCAGTTCAAGTAGATAATCTAGAATCAGATCCTGGGATATAGGCCCATTTGAGAGAATGAAGTTGGTAGCATACGTTTTGTAGACCATTTTCTCAGATGCATAGACTTAAATTGACTTCCCCAGATGCCTAAGGAGTCAGATGCTAATACTGCTACCAACTTCACTCTCTCAGCCAGACTGAGGCTGGATCTACGCTGCCATATAAACCAGATTATCAAATCATTATCTGCTTTGAACGGGATTATATGAGTCTACACTGTCATATAATCCAGTTCAAAGTAGCTAATCTGGATTTTATATGGCAGTATAGATCCAGCTTGAGTCTCCTTGTAGAGACAAAAAGTGGGGTATAAATAAACAGAAGAAGAAGAAGCCAGTAAATGTGGTCCCAGTGGTGATCGGCACACTGGAGGCAGTGCCTAAAGACCTTGGTCTGCACTTAAAAACAATTGGCGCTGACAAAATTACCACCTGTCAGCTGCAAAAGACCACCCTACTCGGATCTGCACACATTATTCACTGATACATCACATCGTACTAGACACTTGGACATGTGATCCAATATAAAAGGCAGCAAAGTGGTCTTGTTTACTGTGTACTAATCTTGTTATGTGTCTAATAACAACAACAACAGGAAAAGCTGACACGATATGAGGATTTAAAGATTGAACTGCAAAGACTCTGGCAGAGTAAAGGTGGTTCCAGTGGTGATCGGCACACTGGGTGTAGTGCCTAAAGACCTTGGCCTGCACTTAAACACAATCAGCACTGACAAGATTACCATCTGCCAGCTGCAAAAGGCCACCTTACTGAGATCTGCACGCATTATTCGCTGATACATCACACAGTCCTAGAAACTTGGGAAGTGCCGGAAATGTGATCCAATACAACAGACAGCAGTGTGTCTGATGTGGACTCATCTTGTTGTGTTTCAATAATAATAATAATAATAATAATAATTATTATTATTATTATTATTATTATTATTGTGCAATTTTCTGGCATTGTATATTTCTGCCACTTCTGCAATTATTCATTTGCATTTTGATTCTGTAGCCCTATCAAGACCTCAAAATCAAACTGCAAAGGCTCTGGCATAAACCAGTACAGGTGGTCCCAGTGGTCATTGGCACCCTGGGTGCCGTGCCAAAAGATCTCAGCCAGCATTTGGAAACAATAAACATTGACAAAAACATGATCTGACAACTGCAAAAGGCCACCTTACTTGGATCTGTGTGCATCATTCAAAAATATATCTCACAGTCCTAGACGCTTGGGAAGTGTTCGACTTGTGATTTTGTGATATGAAATCCAGCATATAAATCTCGTTTGCTGTGACATACTGTGTTTTTGTGTCAGTAAAATAATAATAATAATAATAATAATAATAATAATAATAATGCTTCTGGAACATGGCCATACAGCCTGGAAAACTCACAACAACCCAATAGTAATATTTTGTTGTTTATTCGTTTAGTCGGTTCCCAATCTTCATGATCTCATGGGCCAGCCACATATACAATAATATACTGCCAAATAATTGCAGTATTGCAGTCCAATGTAGTTCAAAGCTCCCTATATGGCTCAACACTGCGATTCAGACTGTACTATTTGGCAACCAGTGTCGAACCAGGCTGAGGTGAAGACTCCTTTGCATCCCGATATTCCCAACTAACTTGGCCAGGCCTTTGAATGACCGGGGAAGCCTGGGAAGAAGCCTTTGGAGCTCCCCATCCCTCCAGCCCTGAGCCGCCCGCCAAGCGCCTCTCTGGGGATGGAAGAACCTGGAGGCGCGAGTCGAGAGCGCGACTTACCTGGCTGGCTCTGCCCGAGTGGCGGCGGGTCCCGTCCCGCCCAGGCTGCCCCAGTTCTCGGCCCGGAGACCAGGCAGCGGAGGGGGCGGCTCAGGCCTCCTCCTCCGCCTCCTCCTCGTCCTCGCCCCGGGCGACTCCTTCCTCTCTTCCCCTCGGCCGAGGAGGAGGAGGAGGCCAGGAGAAGGCGGCACGCTCCAGGCGCAACCAGGAGGAGGAGGAGGAGGAGGAGGAAGAGGAGGAGGAGGGGCGGGAGCGGGGCTCCGGCCCCGTTCAAACCCACGGACTTGGTGCGAGGAGCTCTTTCCAGGATCCCTCCACCTTGGCTGCGCTGCAGCCCCTCTTTCAAGTCTTTTTTGTTTTTGTTTTTGAATGACTAACTTTATAAACACCAATCACATGTGAGGGATCTTCTCCAAACACACACCACGACCCACCCGGGAATAGGACCGATATTTAAATCCGCTAAAGAGACTAAAACGAAAGGCACCCGGAGAGGAAAGAAAGAGCAGCACGAGAGAGCCAACTTGCCCACCGTGCACAGAATTGGGAATGGAGGGAAGCGGCAGAGTCAGAAGAACCCTTCCCAAACCTGGCCTGACAAAAGGGAAGGATTTAGTTGAGTTGTTGTAAGTCTTCCGGGCTGAATGGTCATGCTCCAGAAGCATTCTCTCCTGACTTCTCGCCTGCATCTGTGGCAGGCACCCTCAGAGGTTGTGGGGTCTATGTGTTATCGAAGGCTTTCATGGCCGGAATCACTAAGATGCTGCAAGTTTTTCGGGCTGTCTGGCCATGTTGGAGAAGCATTCTCTCCTGACGTTTCGCCCACATCTATGGCAGGCACCTTCCGAGGTTGTGAGGTCTATGTATTGTCGAAGGCTTTCATGGCAAAAATCACTGTATTGCTGCAAGTTTTCCGGGCTGTATGTCCATGTTGGAGAAGCATTCTCTCCTGAAGTTTCGCCTGCATTTATGGCGGAATCACTGGTTGCTGCAAGTTTTTCGGGCTGTATAGCCATGTTTCAGAAGCATTCTCTCCTGACGTTTCACCTGCATCTATGGCAGGCATCCTCAGAGGTTATGACAACCTTTGTGGATGCCTGTCATTGATGCAGGCGAAACGTCAGGAGAAAATGCTTCTCCAACATGGCCATACAGCCCGAAAAACTTACAGCAACCATTGTTGCTACATCTTTCTCCCACCCCTAGACATTCCACAGATATATAAACCCCATTTTCCTAGTTTCCAACAGACCTTACAATGGGTTGCTGTAAGTTTTACGGGCTGCATGGTCATGTTTCAGAAGCATTCCCTCCTGATGTTTTGCCTGCATCTATGGCAGGCAACCTCAGAGGTCATGAAGTCTGTCGGAAACTAGGAAAATGGGGTTTATATATCTTTTCCCCATCTTGGACATTCCACAGATGTATAAACCCAATTTTCCTAGTTTCCATCAGACCTCACAACCTCTGAGGATGCCTGCCATGTATACAACCGAGACGTCAGGAGAGAATGCTTCTGGAACATGGCCAGACTGCCTGGAAGACTTACAGCAACCCAGTGCTTCCGGCCATGAAAGCCTTCGACAACACAAGGGTCTAGTTTCTTAAAAGCTGGAGGGACAGACAGCAAAGGAGGCGAAGGCAGATGCGCGCAGAGCCGAAGGAGGTTTGATTTGCCGGCAAAGAGCAGCAAGGTCTGTCTGTCGGAGACCCAAGACAGTCCGATCCCGCCTTAGAAGCGCATCGGACTTTTGCATCCGAACTGCTAGACGCGGAGCAGTAAACAACGAGGCTTGCCAATAAGCCTGGAATCTGTCAGATTTCGAGCCGATCCTAGGCGTGGAGTATTGGGAAGCGAGGGAGGAGGAGGAGGAGGAGGAGGAGGAGGAAGGGATGCCTTACCGTGGAGCCTCTTCTCCCCGCTCGGCTGCCATTGTGTTTTCCTTGGCGGGACAGTCGGGGTCCAGCAGCAGCCTCCTGAGCCCGTGGCTCTCCTTCCCGCTCGGGCTGCGCGTCTGCGAAGGCGCTGCTCTCCTCCTTCCTTCCTTCCTCCCTTCCTTCCTTGACTCCTTCCTTCGCTCCTTCCTTGCCTCCTCTCTTCGCTCCTGCTCGGCGTCCCAACTGACAGGGAGACCCAAGGCCAGGCGAGCATGCAAAGCAGAAACCCGAGCGCGCCTTGAATGAAAACACGGGCGACGGAAAGTGTCGTGGGCTTTGCTGTCTCTCCCCTCCCTCCCTCCCTCCCTTCAAATCAGAGTTACATAATGTATTAATTGGTTGCTATTAACGCACTTTTATTGAGCGTAGCGCACAGAAGTCTGATTGTGAGCGAGGAGTGTTTTCAATGAAAGTGGAGTTATTTTAGCTGCAGACGTGTTTACATTTCTGTGGTTTCGTCTATAACTTTCTCTTTTTCTTGCCTCAGAATCCAGCTCCGTGAAGCAAAGCCCTTCGCTCCCAGACATTCCAAAAAGTCTGCCAAAATCAGAAGGGGGGAAAAGAGAGGGGTTTTTTAAAAAGGCACGCGCATATAGAGACCCCCAAGTCTGGGTCAGGCCAAGGACTGGATCTCCCTCCCCACTTTCTCCAGTTCAAAAGACCCCAGAGCTCCATTTCCTGTTTCTAAGGACTGGGGCTGGTGGTGGAAGAAAGTGGGTCTGCAAGGAACGGGTTTAGACACACTTTGTACCAGATACACACTCTAATTCCGAAATCCTTTTGCTCGGGAAATGGAAGTTTAGACATTAACCTTCTGGCAGGGGTTCTATATTGTAAGGAACACACCACATGAAGAAAACCAATCTGTTTTGCCCTAATAGTTTCCTTGTCTACACTCACACTCATTTGAAGCACCTGTCAAGAGCTCCTGCATGTGCACCAGCAATATCAGGAAAATCCATTTTGTGTTGTGCTGAAATATGCTTGGATCTGGAGAAGAGCTCACTTCTCTTCATCTATATATGACACTATGGTGGAAATCCAACATATTTTTTAGTATTGCAGGCCCAACAAACAGTCTCCCATTATCAAGTGAACTCTACATTTTGAAATGCAAGATGCATTGGCAATAACCTTTGAGAGTTCTTGTAGAAAGGAGGAGTCCCCACAGATTGGAGGAGGGCAAATGTGGTCCCTATCTTCAAGAAGGGAAAAAAGGATGACCCAAACAATTGCTGTCTGGTCAGCTTTGTGGGCACCACAATTGAAGAGAGATATTGACAAGCTGGAATGTGTCCAGAGGAGGGCGACTAAAATGATCAAGGGTCTGGAGAACAAGCCCTATGAGGAACGGCTTAAAGAGCTGGGCATGTTTAGCCTGAAGAAGAGAAGGTTGAGAGGAGACATGATGGCCATGTATAAATATGTAAAAGGAAGTCATAGGGAGGAGGGAGCAAGCTTGTTTTCTACTTCCCTGAAGATTAGGACATGGAACAATGGCTTCGAACTACAAGAAAGGAGATTCCATCTGAACATGAGGAAGAACTTCCACTGCTGAACAGTGAGAGCTGTTCAGCAGTGGAACTCTCTGCTCCTTCTTTGGAGGCTTTTAAACAGAGGCTGGATGGCCATCTGTCAGGGGTGCTTTGAGTGCAATTTTCCTGCTTCTTGGCAGGGGGTTGGACTGGATGGCCCACGAGATCTCTTCCGACTCTATGATTCTATGATTCTATGTCAATACCAGGCAAGATTCTGGGAAAGATCATTAAGGAAGTGGTCTGCAAAGACTTAGAAATGAATGTGGTTGTCAAAAATAGTCAACATGGATTTCTCAAAAATAAGCCAGACAAATGGGGGAATCGTGGCTCGACAGCAGTACGTGTGAAAAAGATCTTGGAGTCTTCATGGACAACAAGTTAAACATGAGCCAACAATGTCATGTGGCAGCTAAAAAAGCCAATGGGATTTTGTCCTGCATCAATAGGAGTATAGTGTCTAGATCCAGGGAAGTCCTGCTACCCCTCTATTCTGCCTTGGTCAGACCACACCTGGAATACTGTGTCCAATTCTGGGCACCGCAATTAAAGGGAAATGTTGACAACCTGGAATGTGTCCAAAGGAGGACGATTAAAATGATCAAGGGTCTGGAGAACAAGTCTCATGAGGAGCGAATTAAAGAGCTGGGCATGTTTAGCCTGCAGAAGAGAAAGCTGAGAGGAGACATGATAGCCATGTATTAATATGTGAGGAGAAGTAATAGGGGGGAGGGGGGAGGCTTGTTTTCTGCTGCCCTGGAGATGAAGATGTGGAACAGTGGCTTCAAACTACAGGAAAGGAGATGCCACTTGAAAATTAGGAAGAACTTCTTAACAGTGAGAGCTGTTCAACAGTGGAACCCCCTGCCCTGGAGTGTGGTGGAGGCTCCTTCTTTGGAGACTTTTAAACATCTCTCAGGGGTATTTTGAATGTGATTTTCCTGCTTCTTGGCAGGAGGTTAGACTGGATAACCCACGAGGTCTCTCCAACTCTATGATTCTATGATTCTTTGTATTTTTAAAAAATTATACCATTATTATATGTGCTCAAAATTCTATATAAAACAAAACCTACTGCAGTTTTACAGCTGGGGATGAAAACCTTCAGATGCATGTCCTCTGGTGTCTTTCCCTTAAACTTTAAAGATTAAGCTAAACCAATTTATCCTAAAATCTGTACAGTAAGCTGTAGGGATTCTGGCTGGGCTTCTACTTCAGGAGCACTGGAATATTCACATATGAATCAGATATGAAAATGCGAAGAGCTTAGCCGACCTAACTAGTGTGGTTTGTTGTCATTTGCTAGTCATTTGTTGTCATTTGACTTCAACTTATGGCAACCTTATGAATGTGAGCCCTCAAAAAACTGCAGTCACCAATAACCCTACTCAGAGACAATTCAAAATGAAAGAGCTAGAAGTGCAGGAAGACCAGACTTCCAGGTTGGAAAGCTTTTGTGGCTGCCCTCAGTGAAACAGCGGTTAGCATATGACATAATGGTCCTAGAGCCACTCACGTAGCCCTCCAAATGTTGATGAACTGTAACTTGCAACAGATGATGAAGCCAGAAGAACTGGTGGTGAGGAAAGCTGGAGTCTTCAGCTCAATAACATCTGGAAGGTTTCATGTTTTACAGCTTTCTTTGCACAATGCATGGAATAAGATGTGGACTAGAAGGTATCACCTGGGGGAAAAAGATCAAGCCTATGTTATATCATAGATTCTAGGTTTTCTTAAACAGTTCAAGTTTGCTTTTTGGTTTTAATTTATATATTAAGGTTTTTTTTATCACTCCACGTTTGTCCTCAACAGTCTTGAGGTCTCTAGATCTTATCATGAGATGCCATCCAGCATGTTTCATCATTGCGCATTCTATACATTCCATACCAAATCTGAGATGAAAAGCCATCTATGTCCATTTGTTTATACTATATTTCATCAACTTGTCACCCTCCAGATATATTGGACTGTAACTTCCATTATTATTGAACTAGCACTGTTGAATCCCTAACTCTGGCAATGCCATCATTTTTTCTGAGCAAAGTCAATTGATTGATGACTGGAGATGATAAGATGTGTAATCCAACACATCTGAGGGTCAAGTGGTTGGTCAAAGTCGATTTCATCATACTGAGTTTTCATTCAATAGATTGTCTAATTGTATTTTAAAATAACCTGTATATAGTTTAATAATATCTCCTTGTGTACTTTGAACTGTATTTAATATCTTGTAATACTGGGAGAACTGTGAAATATAAATGAATGAACAAACAGATGAACATTAGGTATCAAGCCAGGCATCAAGGGGCTTTCTCTTTAAAATGCACTTCCATTTTTGATCACAGAAAGACATTAATTTATGGTTATGAGTTATTACAAGAACAAAAATATACTCAGCTAAAAACTTTACACTATTAATATCTAAGCATTAGACTACAACTCTGGACACAAGAGTTTGAATCCTTGCTTAACCACAAAATTTATTGGGTGATCTTGGATAAGTCAAACTCTCTCAGTCTCACAGGAAGGCAATGGCAAACCTCTTTTGAACAATTCCTGCTAAGAAAGCCTCATGATAATTTCACATTGGGGTTTCCATAAGTCAGAAATAATAATAATAATAATAATAATAATAATAATAATAATAATAATAATAATGTGGTCATTGGCACACTAGGTGCTGTGCCAAAAGATCTCAGCCAGCATTTGGAAACAATAAACATTGCCAAAACCATGATCTGACAACTGCAAAAGGCTACCTTACTTGGATCTGCACACATAATTCGAAAATACATCACATAGTCCTAGACACTTGGGAAGTGTTTGACTTGTGATTTTGTGATACAAAATCCAGCATATAGATCTAATTTGCTGTGACATACTGTGCTTTTGTGTCAATAATAATAATAATAATAATTCAAAGAAATGCTGCAAACTGGAAACATCAGCAAATGGTTAACAACTGGGAAGACGTGTTTGATACAGAAACATCCAGCAAAAGGGATAATACCAGGAAACAACAGGCTGATAACATGTCTGTCTACCATGTTCAAACTGTTGACAGGCATAATAGTTGATCAAATCCAGGATCACTTGGAGGCAAATAACATTTTGCCAGTAGAAGTAGGGGCATGAAAAGATCAGCTACTGATTGACAAAATGATACTGGAAAATTGCAAAAGCTGCAAAACAATTTTCTATACAACTTGGATTGATTACAAAAAAGCATTTGACTCACTGCCACATTGTTGGATCATCAAATGTCTGGATGTCATCGGGGTGTGTGAAAATATTAGCAAGTTTACTGAAAATGCAATGAAACAATGGAAAACTGAGTAGTTTGTGGACAATGAAAGCTATAGAACTCTTAACATCAAGAGAGGAATTTTCCAGGGTGGCTCACTGTCACCACTGTTGTTCATCATTACAATGATCCCACTATCAGTAATTCTATAGAAAACAAACCTGGGCTACCAAATGGCAAGAAAGTCACCAAAAATCTCCCACTTTACAGAAAATCAAAAACTGAAATCCAGTGACTGACCAACATAGTCAGAATCTTCAGCACTGACATCATGCATGGAGTTTGGCCTAGACAAATGTGCCACAGTGGCATTAAAGAAAGGGAAAATTATTCACAGCAAGGCTATAGAGATGCTAAATGAGCAAACCATAAAGTGCAATCAGCCTGAAGCCTATAAATATCTGACCACACTACAGCTGGACAATATCATGTGTGGGCATGTGA